TACTAATTTCATATATTTTTATAATATATTATTATGATTATAAACAAAATTAAAACAAAAAGCATTTTTTATACTATTAAATAAATTTATTTTTTTCGTTAACAGTGTTCAAACATGTCTTAAAAAATTATTATTTTTTGAATTTAAACTTTAATTTTTATTATTTACAAAAATTATAAAAATTAAAATTAAAAATCAAAAATTACAATCAATACTAAACAGAATCTCAGAAAACATGAATATTTATTCAATCTTTTGATCTGATTAGTTTACAAAAACTTGCGATCTCCAGGTGACCTAATGGAATTTTTTTATGCCTATGATATTTTTTTATCTTTGTTCGTCTTGCTGATTTTATTTTTCTTTCTTTGTTCTAGTTATTGATGATGAATCCAAAGTCATAAAAGGCTGGCAATTCATTTTGGGTAAGACCCACGTTTACCAACTTTTATTGTTATTATTTTTTATGGGAACTTTTATTAATTTTTTTTTTTAAATTTTTAGAATATAAATCGATGTTATCATATAATTGGATATTTAAGGAAAAATGTCTATCAACAGTAAAAAAATTTTAAAAATATATCAAAATTAAAATTTTTAAATAAATTTTTATTAAAAAATTAAAATGCTTATTTTTGAAATATGAATCAAATTATTTTTTATCCTTTTTTTATAAAATTTTATTAAAATGATGTAATTATATAATTATATAATGATATTTTCTTCAAATTTTTATAAGGCAAGAGAGATAAGTACTGATTTCATAATTTTAACAAGAAATACTTAAATGTATTATGTGGAGTAGTCAATAGGGGACTTTCATGTTTATTTGGCTGTACATGTATAGAATACATAATTTGATTACCATTATTGACTACTTGCAAGAAGAGTTATATTAGGGTTAGAGATTTATGGATTAGACTTAGAAATGGTTTTATGAAAACATTAAAAAGGAAACGGTTTTTATGAGATATTTAACTATTATTTAATTTTAGTTTTAAGAAAAAATATATAGACAATAATAAATACTTAAATGTAAATAATAAAAATTGTTTATATATGGAATTATACTGAAATATATGTGTAACAGGTCAGGTAAATACTTAACCTGTGGCAATTGTTCCCTTTTTATACCTTGTTGCTCACAGCTAATTAATATTAGAAATAAACTTATTGCGAAAAACAACCTTCACTCTGTCAGCAATACCAGCACATGGATGATGCACTGACAGACCATAACAGTTTCCCTTGTGTCATCTTGAAACTGTCCCAACTCTCAAGTTTCTTTCCCCCCATATCTCATAAACAGAAGTAGCTAAAGTGCACTCAAGCTGGGTACTTCTGTTTCTTCCCTTGCATTCCTTCCGGATCCACAACCACTCCTCGGTACAACTTCTCAGCTTTCTACTAATCCCCAATCTCAATAACACGGTTCTGCACACGAGAAGCAAAAGGGCATTCAAAAAAGAGATACTTGTATGATTCCTCAGTAGTAACACAACAAAAAATTCAACTTAAACGCATACCTCTGCAGTTCAGTACCTATCCTTTGTCTTCAACAGACATTTCACTAGCACCAATAAAATAAATTTTGAAGTCCTTTGACTGCAACAAAACTTTATTCGCTCCCTCGGACAAAGTCAAACCTTTTGATCTCTCAGCTACTCTACCAGAATATCTCCTTTCAAAACTAGTTGGCATCTGCCATCCAAATTGCCCTCGCCGGAGAATTTTGTTTCATGCCGGCCGTAGTTTAGTAATTAGTGATCTCAGCCATAGTTTGTAGCCCATCACAAAGTCTGTCTCCTGGTAGCCAATAATCGTAAAAAAGGGAGGTTTGTCTACCATCCCCAACTTCAATACTACTTACTAACACAATCTCTCATCACCTTTGTCACCTAAAGATCTTACTTAAAGACCATGCCGAATCTCGTGGACTTTTATTATTTTATTTCATTTCATTTCGAATTTTCTAACTAACCGTGAAACTGGACTTTTATACAATCAAGTTTTGATATACATGTGTACCTCCCACTAAAGTCATCCGTTTCTCCTTTCTTAATCCCTGCAGGCATTAGCCTAGGGTTTGGAGTAGTGTGCTTACTTATTGGTCCATACTGGCTGTACAAAATTTTAAAGAAGAGAAGGGAAAAGAACCTCCAGATGCAGTTCTTCAAATTATTGTTGCAGCAACAACTTTCTTCAATTGAGGGTAATATTGAAAGGAACAAAATATTCAGCACCAAGGAGTTGGATAGGGCAACTGACCATTTCAACAGGAATAGAATACTTGGTCAGGGAGGCCAGGGCACTGTTTATAAAGGAATGTTGGCTGATGGAAGAATTGTTGCGGTTAAGAAGTCCAAAGTACTGGATCAAGAGAATGTTAAAGAGTTCATAAATGAGATGGTCATTCTTGCACAAATTAATCACAGAAACATTGTTAAGTTATTAGGCTGTTGTTTGGAGAATGAAGTTCCTTTGCTAGTTTATGAATTCATCCCTAACGGAACACTTTTCCAATACATACATGATGAAAATGAAGACTTCCCATTAACCTGGGAAAGACGGCTAACAATTGCAGCAGAAGTTGCTGCTGCCCTTTCCTACTTGCACTCAACGGCTTCCATTCCCATTTATCATAGAGATGTCAAGTCCTCAAATATTCTACTAGATGAAAAGTACAAGGCAAAAGTTTCAGACTTTGGAACATCAAGATCAGTTGCCATTGATCAAACTCATTTGACCACAAATGTTCAGGGCACATTTGGGTACCTGGACCCTGAATATTACCAATCTAGTCAATTTACAGAAAAGAGTGATGTTTATAGTTTTGGAGTTGTCCTTGTTGAGCTCTTAACAGGAGAAAAACCAATTTCTTTAGCAAGGGCAGAAGGAAGAAGAAGTTTGGCCTCTCATTTCATTCATTCCATGGAAGATAATAGTCTCTTTAGTATTCTTGATGCTCGAGTTAGGGAGAGTTCAGCACGTGAAGAGATAACAAAGGTCGCTAAACTTGCACATCGATGCTTGAACTTGAATGGTAAAATGCGGCCAAAGATGATAGAAGTTGCTGTGGAGTTAGAGCAGATTCATCTTTTGCAAAACAATTCAAATGGTCAACAAAATCATGAAGAGCTTACGCATGTCAAAAGTGAAGTAACCAATCTCTGGGATGGTACCTCGACATCAATAGGTTCAGGTTTGGACTCTGAAGCTTCTTTGTCCATAGATATGCAGTCATTAATTTCCAATAAACCACAGGGATTTAACTGATTAATCGTAGAATGCATTCATTCCACGTTGAGGAACATAATAAGCTCTTTCTTTCTTTAGTGTTTGAAAATTTGTAGTTCATCTAATTTTTATTTTTGTTGCTTTGTAGTTTAAAGTTCAAATAAAGTTTATGCACTGCTCGGTTACAATAATTTGATATCATGATGACAGCTAAAGTATTATTGAACCATTTCCTTTCCAGTTTTAAATTCTTTCTGTCTTACAAAAACTCGCCAAAATTAAATTAAGTCAACTTTTAGATTTGGTGCTATGTACGCATTAATATCTGTATGCATGAGTTATTTTGTCGAATTCCTCAGAATGCTAGCACAATGTCATTTCCTAATTCCAGCTCAACTATCCTGAAACGTTCACCACTCAGACAAATTTATCTTAGCAACATATTCAGTCAGTAAAGCATTGAAGCATATTTCCTTGCTTGATTTATCTCACGAAAGAATGAGGAGAAATTTAAAAGGAAAATATAGTTATTCACACCTTCGGCATTAACAAACAATCATCAGACTAGCATAAAATGCCCTTAATTTCCGTATAGCTAAAAAATCATATTGTAAGATAACATGGTAATTATGGCATTGAAAACCCAAGTAATAAGACTTATCTATGCGCAGAACTGTAGAAGCACCGAAGACAGTTGTTACCTTGAAATAGCCTTCCAAGTAGTTTTCTTCTATCTGCGAACTCAAATCAAGTGTCATAAGACAAGAAGAGGCCTATTTTCTTCCACGCATAATGTGGAGAACCAAGATGATAAAATTGGAGCTTTTTGTTTTCATTTCATCCTTACTCACAATTAAACCAAAAAATCCTCATGCATTTTTATTTCATCTCAGATAATGAAATTTGAAAAACTAGTATTTAAATTCTTTTTTAATTTGGAGAGTTAGACAACTAATTTAGACCACCTCTATTTAATAAGTGGTGGGACAACTAAATTAGACTGAAAGGAGTATCCATCAATTGGTCAACAAGTGAATGTGTTAATGATATTTAAGCATTAGAGTTTAATGTGAAGCTAGAAGCTAAGAATTTCCAAGTGGCAGCCAACCATCCTCTAAAAGAAAAAGGAATTTTCAAATATATTAAAATTTTCTAGTAATGCATCATATTAAATTTAGTGAGGCCGGCCAGTTGTGTCTTTCTTCCTTTGGATTTTGATGTTTGTGCTTGGTTCCAGAACATACATCCTACATACATTTCTTCATACTCTATAAAACTGTAACCTCATCAATTGACAATTGGCAGCCTTAATTGATTCAGAAGCCCCTTGATTGCAACAAAACATTATCTACTCCCTCGGACAAAGTCAAGTCTTTCATCTTAACCACCATAATGGGATATCTAGTTGCTAGATTATCTACACCGAGAACCTTTGTTTCATGCCCATGGTGATCTCAGCCACATTTCGTAGCCTTCCACAAATTCTGTCTTCTGGTAGCCAACAGTCATAAAAAGGGGAGGTTTGTTTGTCTACCATCCCCAGCTTCAGTACTAACACCATCTCTCATCATCTTTTTAACCTAAAGATCTTTCTTAAGACCGTGCAGAATCCTGTGGACTTTTATTGATTTCAGTCCATTTCATTTTGAAATTGGAATAGTCTAACCATGAAACTAGACTTCTATATAATCAAGTGCCGATATACATAAGTATCTCATGCTAAAGTCAACCATTTTTCCGATGTCTGCAGTTATTAGGCAAGGGTTTCGAGTAGTGTATTTACTTATTGCTACATGGTGGTTGTACAAAATCTTAAAGAAGAAAAGGAAAAAGAAGTTTCAAAGGCAGTTCTTCAAATAAAATGGAGGTTTATTATTGCAACAACAACTGTTTTCAACTGAGGGTAATATTGAAAAGACCAAAATATTTAGTACCAAAGAGTTGGAGAGAGCAACTGACAATTTCAACAGGAATAGAATACTTGGTCAGGGAGGCCAAGGCACTGTTTATAAAGGAATGTTGTTTGATGGAAGAATTGTTGTGCTTAAGAAGTCCAAAGTACTGCATAAAGAGAAAGTTAAAGAGTTCATTAATGAGGTAGTCATTTTTACACAAATTAATCATAGAAACATTGTTAAGTTATTAGGCTGTTGTTTGAAGAATGAAGTTCCTCTGCCAGTTTATAAATTCATCCTCAAGAGGACACTTTTCCAGTACATACATGATCAAAACAAGGACTTCCCATTTAACTTCAGTTCAAAAAAAAAAAAAAAAAAAAAAACAAGGACTTCCCATTAACCTAGGAAAGAAGGTTAACAACTACAGCAAAAGTTGCAGGTGTACTTTCCTGCTTGCACTAAATAGCCTCCATTCCCATTTATCATCAAGATGTCAAGTCCTCAAATATTCTAACGGATGAAAAGTACAAGGCAATAGTTTCAAACTTTGGGACATCAATATCAATTGCCATTGATCAAACTCATTTGACCACAATTGTGAAGGGCACATTTGGGTACTTGGACCTTGAATCTTTCTAGTCAAGTCAATTTATAGAAAAGAGTGATGTCAAAAGATTTGGAGTTGTCCTTGTTGAGCTCTTAACTGGAGAAAAACCAATTTCTTTAGCAGGACAAAGGAAGTGGAAGCAAGACGTTTGGCCTCAAATTTCATTCTTTCAATGGAAGAGAACATACTCTTTAATATTCTTGATGCTCAAGTAAGGAAGAGTTCTGCACTTGAAGAGATAACAAAGGTAGCTAAACTTGCATATCAATGCTTGCGCTTGAGTGGTAAAAGGCGGCCAAAGATGATAGAAGTTTCTGTGGAGTTGGAGCAGTTTTGTCTTTTGAAAGACAAGTCACATGGTCAACAAAATCATGAAAATAGTTATGTAAAAATTGAAGTAACCAACCAATGGGATGGTGCCTCTACAGGTACTTTGTCATTAGACATGGAGCCATTATTTTCAAGTGAATCATGGGGATTGTTAAAAATGCAAGTGATCTCAAATACCATATGAGGTCTACAGGTTTCATTTTAACTTAATCAAAGTGGGACTTCTCCCACTTTAATGGTTTAACAGCTTTATCATATACATAATGCATATATTCCATCATGTGGGGCTTAATGCTCCCTCTCTTTTTTTCCCCTTCTGTGTTTGAAAAGTTTTAGTTCATTTTATTTTTGTTGCTTCATTGTTCAAATAATGTTTCTTCACTACTTGGTTACAGTAGTTTATGTAATGAAAGACTAAACTGTTACTGAACATTTCACTTCCAGTTTTAAATTCATTGCCTCACAAAACCATCAAGGTTAAATCAAGTCCTCAACATATGATAGATGGCATGTATCTTTTAGATTCGGTGTTACACACACATTAATATGTGTGTGCTAGATCTATTTAATCATAAAGGGCTAGCACAAAGTCATTTCCAATTTTCAGTATAACTACCCTGAAATGCTCAAATTTAGTTGTGGTCTAAGATATGAGGATGCAAAGTACTTGTTTATAAGATGTAAGATGATTTAGAGTCTGGATGCATTGTTGCAAATGCTGGAATTTCAGTTTTGTATGTCTGGTTCAATTGTTGATATGGGTCTGCAGTTTGAGACTTAGAGTATGGGTCTAGCAATATCAAGGTTAGAGAATGGGGAATCATTTCTTTCTCTTTTTTTGGCTGCTACTGTCTTGTTGGATATCTTCGAGAACTTGCAATGGGAAGAGGAGAGAATTTTGAAGATTATTCAAGCAAGATCATTCGTGTGGATTAAAGGTTGAGAGCTTCCAGTGCTTTTAGTGATTGATGTATCAACCCCCAGTTTTTTGCAAAAGATGTCTGTAAGTGTTGAGTGTATTTGACATCCTGTTCTTTGCAGTGTGTTCTGTGTTGTGCAGAGGACGAGTTACAATGCTGCTGAATACTGTGTGTCTGAAAATAACTATTATCTGAATTTGAATTTGCTTCAAATTAATTGTTATTTTTTTAT